CCTCCGCCTTGAATTGAACCGAAATACGAGTCCATAGTCCAGGAGCGCCGTGTTCTGGCCGGGGAAGGACACTACGGCAGAAACTCACGGACCACGGCCCGAGCTTCGAAACATCTTTTGAGTCGCGTCAAGGCTTTAATCCGACAGTCGACGCCCTGTGACGTCATGTAGCCGAGTGGAGCAGAGTGGAGGCGAATGCGGAAGCGCCTGGCTGGCTGCCCGCGGCCCCTGCCCCTACCCACTCCCGCTCTCCTTGGAACTACCTATTGGGAGACGCGGGGACCAGGCGGGGACCCGCGGGGAAGGACGGGGAGCTGACTCCAGAATTCCTTTTGTGATGGCCGCTTTCTCCGCCTGTGCGCAAAGGGGGGGGGGGGTCCTCTATATTTTCAGCCCGTTTGCTCGGTTTGCTCCCGGGTCGAGGCGATCGCGGCGACGGGGCGGGCCAGGTTACATCACTGACGGGCAGCTCGGTGCACCCTGCGCTCTATTTGCCGGGCCTCGGCTTTCTGAAGGCCTTGGCCCTCGGGCTCGCGGGGCGCATAGCGGGCGCAGCCGGGTCTTCAGCCGGGCTTGTCATTTATTGTGAGGGCAGCGGGTGGCTCCAGTTCAGTTTTGAACCTTGTTTAAGTTGACGTGGTGGAGGTCTTCCCGGGGAGCAGCCGCCCGCTGACCACATGGCACCGAGCCTCCCCTAATGAGAACCGCAGCGGGACCCCTGCCCTGCCCGCGGGGCAGCGCTCGGGCTCAAGCCGGGCCTCAAGCCGAGGCCGAGGCTCAAGCTCGCCGACCAACCGCGCCTCCTACAGCCCGTTTGTTTGTATTAGCACCTTGAGGCCCTCCTTGACTCTTTGACACCTTGTACCTGAACGAGCTTAACCACCTGAACACGTGAGCACCACACATACACACACAGACACACACACACACACACACACACACACACACACACACACACACACACACACACACAAACGCGCGCGCGCGGCATCGGCACATCGGCGGCCCAGCGGCGGAAGCGGCGGCAGGCTAGCGGCCTTCGCCAGGTCGAGGGTCACCGAGAAGTTTGCTTATTTACTGTGTGGAGGGAAAGGGGCGGGTGAAGGGGGGGTGATGGTGGTATCGGTTTGAGTCGTATATCGGTCCGCCACGCCGCACCGCGCTGTCACTTTGATCGACACGATCGGCACGCGATCAAGCAGTGGCGATACGGAGCTAGGCCGCTGCTCCCCCTCTTATCACTCCCGCTGCTGATCGCGCTGCTGCTCCCGCTGTTGCTCTCGCACCCCAACACCTCCGCGCTCACGCCACCGCCACACGCGCTCACACCCACGCCCTCGAGTGCACGCGAGTGAGGGGGGTGTGAAAGGGGGCGCTCAAGAACTGCTTCGTTCGGTCGACGATTAATTACGGAATTATTACAGCCAGTCGCATTAGGGTGCAGGGCGAGGGGGAGCGTGTGTGTGAGGAGCCAAAGGGCCATTCGCGTTCAATAGCGCGTCTCCCGTGCTAATGACACGTTCTACCTACCTACCTGCCGCCCCCGCCCGCCCCCACCCCTAAGCGCCCTAAGTTCAG